GCGTCATAATAAATCAAAGTACCTTTTTGCATTACCAACACTTTTTAAGATTTGGTTGTTTGTAGCGAGTCTTCCAGCCATGAGCACATGTGAACAAAACCCTAACAGGATGTGTCCGTTTTATCTTATCTGCCTAGCCAAGACCACACGGGGGGAAAAAACATCACCTTAGTGTCTAGACACTATTCTTTGAACTTGACTAGCCTTAGAACATTGTCGCTCTACTCCACTTAATGGGATATTGATTTTTTATACTTCACTCTCTGCAAATCAATATTCTAATAGACACACAACAGACTGGCAGAAGGATAGAGAGTACATGCCCACTAACCTGATGGAGATGAGTATCCAGAAATGGAGGTCAAATCAAAGGAAAATTTAAACCTGACATGAGAAGAAGAGCAGCACAAAGAGAAGAGTCTGTAAGCAAGGGAAATAAAAAAAAAAAAAAGGATCTAAGCTTAACTAGAAAAGGAAGAAGACACAACCTAAAGAGAGCATGGATAAGGCAGCTAACAAACTCTCAACCTGGCAATAATAGACTGAAGTCCCTTTGGACTGTCTGCACTCAATGCCACGATTTAAGATGCACTTTAGGTCTCCTGCAGGAAACATCTCCAGTATATCACACAGGAGATGTACTTCCTTTTAAAGTAAAATAGCAAGTTTAAATATCTGAGAACTATCTGAACAGCCTATTCAGAACAAAGTCAGACAGAAACCATGTGTAATGTTAAATAAAATACTTAAAAGGAATACCTTATTATTCCAGAGATCAGTTCCATAGGAAACTAGGAAGCCAAAGGGAGCCTTCAAACAGACTCTTTTAGCAAAAGACCTTCTTCTGATCACGGCTTTCTGGTGCGGGCAGAGAACAACTTTTTATGCTATGGAATTTAGCGTTAAAGTGGCCATCTTGCATGGCCTATTAACTTGCTGGTATAACTTAAGGCAAGGTTGAGACAGAAAACACTCCAATGGTCCAGACAAATGGAAGACCAGTGCAAGAGTATTCCTCGGGCAGAGTATCCCTATACACCAGTGCACTGGGAACTGACTAAGCGGCAGTTCCACTGAAAACCACCTCAGGGGTTACAATGGAAGCCAAGGTGAAAATAAGCTCAAAGTGCACTCTCTCTGCAAATAAGGCAAACCTCACGCCAGGCTACACAAGGAGGAACACAGATCCAGGGAAATTATTAATGCTCTCTACTTGGCATGATGATGTAACAATGCAAGCTGTGGCCAGTTTTGAGCCCTCCAGCGCAAAAGATGCGTAGAAAAATTGGAGGTGATCCAGCAAAGGGCTACCAAGATGGTCAGGAGACTGAGCATATGGCGAATAAGAAAAGTTTGAGGGATGTATGCTTGTTTATTCCAGCAAGGAGGATACTATGGGGTAACCTAAAGGAATACTATGAAGAGTAATTATGAAGATTAATTAGTCAAACTCCTCTCAGTAGTGATAAATAAGGCATTAAGGCAAAAAACTGCAGCTAGGGAAGTTCAGGTTTGACATTTTGAAAAAACTCTCACTGGGAGGCTGATACAGCCTTGAAGCCGGTACCCAGAGAGGCTGTGAAATCTCAGGCCTTGAGAGTTTTCCAGAAGTCAGCTCAAGAAAGCCACAGCTGACCTGATCAAGTATTGGCAACACTCCCAGTTGAAGAAAGGGTTGCACCACATCACTGGAGTTCCCTTCCAACCAACAGTACCGATGACGACGCTATGAATATATAACATCACTGTATTATGTATTAATCACTTGAGATTTCTTAGCTTCCACCACAGTGACGTTAGAAAGAAATCTCTTAGAAAAAGCTTCCTTGATTCCAGGGCCTTCTGCCTACCAGAAAAGACAAGAAGCTTTATATCTAATTTCTTCTAGACTAGGATTATGCCCAGTTTCCTGAGCACAGCTCCCTTACTTGCAGTCTGATGAATGAACCACAGGTTCACACACACCCCTGAGCTCCACCATCTTGTTACAATATACAGTATAAGCCACGAAAATTCAGTGAAGTGAGATGAAGACAGCTCTCAAATGAACTCACTGTTCCAGGCATAGTTAACCTTCCAAACTCCAATTACCAGATGGATATTAAGAAATCTGAGAAACTGCAAAGAACAGTCATAAAAATGATTAATGAGCAGAAAGCATTATTTATATAGGTAGAAAACTCAACAGGTATATGCATGCAACGTATCAAAGAAAAGTGATTCATATAGTCTCATCCTAAAGACAGCATAGTGTGTTACAAAAGAAATTCACAGCTGCACCCGGTGCCTTAGTTCAGCATCACAAAGTTCACATACAGTTCACTCTTTCAGCTCCATTTTAAGCTTTCTTTCAACAACAATTTGGCATAAAAAAATTAAAATGAGCTTTCATCAATTTTTCACCCAACCCAGACATCTCAACAGTTCAACCCATTCATAGTTCAACACAACAGAAGCCCTGGGTGGGAGAGCAAGGAGGAGGAGAAAAACACTGGATTTTCCATGACCTTTTGCTGATTTCCAAAACCCTGTCTCCTGTACACATAAAGCAACCTGTTTCTTTTACTACAGAGTAATGACTCATTACTTCTGTCATTTAAAAATGGAAAAGAATTCCATCTGGCACTAAGGATTAGCAGCCAAATTATGTGTGTCTTGATCTAAGAGTCGATTTTGTAATAACAGAAAGCCCTAAAGTCTAAAAACAAAGTGTATTTTCACATCTGCAATCATTCAACATTTCAGCATCTATCTCAAAACTGATCTACTGCCTTCCCCACAATGAGAAGTGCTCGCAGGATGAAAGCATCAGCCCCAGGAAGGCAGGGCTCAGAGGCATCCATGGGAAGCAGATGTACTGCTGCTTGGGTGGACAAACTGAGAGTGACAGGCTGTGCGTATTTAAAGCCTTCCACCATTTTCATTCCATTCAGTTATGAAGTGCTGATGCTACAGGTATGTTTCCTTTACATTCACAGCAGCATACACTGATCCAAGGTTTAAACTGATCAAAGTCTTCCCCAAAATTATACTGGCCAGATATTGGGAGGCACTGACCTCCCAGAAGTTTCTCCTCCATACCTTTCCTTCTCTTACAGGCTGAGTGCAATCCTAAACAACCCCGTTCATTATCTTCCTATCAATTCTGCTATCCCCCATTAACTGTCCAACCCACAAACATGGACTTCATCGTCCAATCTCACCTGTACCTCTCCTGGTGTTGCTCAGCTCCTCTTCACAGACAGGAGGAATAGGACACAATAGGCGAAGACTCTATTTCCTGGATGTTGCAGAAAGAGGGATCAGAAAAGTCACGTCAGTAACCACCACACGGAAAGAGAGACACAAATAATACCTTGTTGGAGGGGCATGCTCCAGGGATTTCTGTCTCCTAAGTCTGAGGAGCTCACTTCTGGATGTGATAATTGATTTCAAAAGGAAAACACATGGTTCACACAAAGGGAAAAAGAAGGCGAAAAGACGGTAAGAGCTTCCTCAACCTTAGGCCCCAAAACAACTGACCCAAGGGGCAAATACAAAAGCTAGCGGAACCACCAGCATCCAAAGAACACGTCTGACTCCTTTTTCCCAGCCACAGTGCAGTTTGCTGTTCACAGAGAAAAGATGACGTGAGACCAGTTGTGACTGCTGTACTCTTTATCACGCTGCACAAAATCAATTTAGTCATGATGGCTTTAGAGGAACATCATAAATAGTACTGGCAAGGCTCCCAGATCAAGCCAGAGCTTGGTTCTCTGGGTTCCCACCTCCCTTCACCCAGAAAACTAATTTGACGGAATTATCCCCGGACAAAGTAGCCAAGGCACAGATTACAGCCTTGCTCTCGATTCCTGTAGGTTCAAAACCTGCCAAATCTTCTCTCATCCCCAGACAGATGGAGGCGGCCGTTGTTTCCACTGCCCAGCTACACCTGGCAGAATTTCTAGGCCTCTGACACAAGACTCCCCACCCGCATTAAAAAATGATTGACTTATTTTAAAAACAAAAAGATAAAAGGTTAATTAGAAGTGTAAACCAGCCAGGATTAAAAAAAAAAAAAGCCAACATCAAAAAAACCCCCAAACTAACACCTTCAAAATAAACAAAGATTTACAGTCACATGAAGAATTAAAATAACTCAGTAGTGTGTCATAAACATTCAAAATTACTCGGTTTTGGGTACTTTCACATCACACAGAGCCGCACCGGTTTCTGAAGGGGCAGCTCCGTCACAGGGAGTGACCCACGGTGGCAGCCCCGGCCGAGGGCAGCATCATCCCACGGGCGC